CTCCTTCTCCCTCTACCTGCTGCTACCCCTGCTTGTGCTCTCTCTCTCTCTGACAAATAAATAAATAAAATCTTTTAAAAAATAAAAATTAAAATAAGTCATTATCAAGTTTTAATAAGCTTTTCTATTTATTCAATTCTGTTATTTCACCTATTTAATAGGTACACAACATTGACAGGTGCCTGTTTAAGTTCTTTTTTTTTTTTTTTTTAGTTTTTGTTTTTTTATTTGACAGAGAGAGAGAGCACAAGTAGGCGGAGCGGCAGACAGCAGGAGAGGGAGAGGCAGGCTCCCGCCGAGCCGGGAGCCCAACGCGGGGCTGGATCCCAGGACCCTGGGATCATGACCTGAGCTGAAGGCAGACGCTTAACGACTGAGCCACCCAGGCGCCCCTCTTTAGGTCCTTAATTGTTCTGTATCAGAACTCTTCCCTACATTTTCATTTTCTCACGCGCTCTTTATTCCTTTACAGAACCTTTTTCTTGTTCTTTATTTTTTTTACTTCAGCTAGTTTTCTAAAAGTGGCATTTTGAAATGCCTTATTTTGAAAAAATAATTTTTTTTCTCTTACTCCATATCTTCCTTTTGAGGAGGAGTTTGATAATCCGAGAGCAGTAGCTTTGTTCGAATAATTAAAAGATGGAAAGCTGCTATTTTACTAGATAGAAATGGGACATTTTCCCATACTGTCAAAACCTGTCCCAGAAGCTAGAAAGCCTCCTGGATTTTCTACTATTCTCCTGCTCCTTCCTCAGTTGAATTTCCACTCACGGGATGTTCGCCTTCCTCTTCTCGCCACAGCTGCAATTTTTCACTCCAAACTCCGACTCTTCTACAGGTTATCCTTCGCTCTACAGCCCTCTAATGATCAAGTGGCTCTGAACACCTCAACTTTGATGTCCAGAGCCAGACTGACCCTTTTCTTCCCCAGCTGTCACCCCAGGACTGCTCCTCTCCTGCTATCCCTTATCTCATAGAAAATGGCCCAACTATATGCCAAGTCACTCAAACAAGAAATCAAGGAATATCTGTGACTCCTTAGTCCCCTTTGACCTTCCTCTATCTCGAAACCCCATTGCCATGCTCTCAACTCATGCCAGCCTCTCAGTAGATGTCCCTGTGTTCAATTTGCCCCTCTCCAATCTTTTCTCTATTTTTGTGATAGATTAAACTTTGTAAAATGCAAATTGATCAACACTTAAGAGTCCTCCATTGAATCCCAAACACTTTCAGCATAAATCCACACTCCTACACCAGGGTATTTGAAGCCTTCATCATCTGGCTCCTTGTCTTCCCAATCACTGCCCTCCACCCCGTGTTCCAGCCGTCCCAGATGCCAGCCTCCACTTTCCTATCCCCTTGCCTTAGCCACTGCCCACTGCCTCCTCAGACGAGTTCCTTCTGGACTCAACTCAGGGAACAGGTTGTCCACAAAGCCAGCCTCAGGCATCCATGCAACATTGAAACACTTCCCACATTGCATCGCACTGTCTTTTTAGGCGCTGGCCCTCCCCCAGCTAGACTTCTAGGGCAGGGACTGTTGTTAGCCCTTTTTGAAAACCTAATGCCCTACAGAGTGATTGTTATATTTGTCAGAGAAGTTGTGACCGAGACGATAATGGAGAACCTCCGTGACTTCTTACCGTGTGCCAGGCATGACATGGATGTTACATGGATGTATTGGTATATTTAATCTTCTTCTTGACTCTATAAAGATATTTTTTAAATATTTATTTTACAAATGAAGAAAATGAGAGTCAACAAAGTTAAACAAAATATCTGAGGTAACTGTGGTGGAAGCTGCAGTTCCAAATCCCCTTTTAAGAAAGGACTTACCCCTCATCTGTTGACGAGTCATCTATGGCACTGCTCAACCAGGACTATGCCCTCTCTCCAAGGCAACCACATTCAATGGGGGGAGCACGTCCACTCAGTCTCCCTTCAGATCATCTCATGGGGTCAGCTAAAGCCTCCTTGAGACTGCATTGCACCTCAACTTCTAGTCAATCGTCCTTCCCCTCTATCCTTCCTTGGGTGTCGATGCCACAAGCATTCCTAAACCAACCTGTCTACTCTCCATCTCCCAGTCAGCTTCCCAGGGACCCTGGCTGGTACCAGCCACACAGCTAGTAAATGATGGAGCCAGCAGTTGGACCGGATAATCAGCAGCTGTGCTTTAGGCCCGCTAGACCACCTGCCTCCTCTGATAAATAAGCCTTGCTTATTTTTGTATCCTTGGAATTAAGCATGGGTACTCAGTAAATATTTGCCAATTCACTTTTCCATCTGACTTTGGAGCCATCTGTTTATAGTTCTTGACCACAAACTTCACAATCTAGTCTGTTGCCGTGAAGAAGCAGGCAAAATTCTAAAGTTCATGATTCTAGGATCAAGTCAATCGATGGTAAATGTAATTACTTCAAACAGTACAAAAACATTCCCTAATTTCAGACTTTTTTAAAATTTATCGATACTTTAGGAAACTCAAAATTTTAGCAATTATACTTCTACTCCTCAAATACAAGCCCAATCCAAGTCGTATTTATGTTATTTTACTAAATACCTTTAAGGCTATTAAAAAGCAAAATGTTTTAAAAGTCTGGCTTATTCAGAAGAGCATGTGACTCTTGATCTCAGGGTCATGAGTTCGAGCCCCACGCTGGGTGTAGAGATGACTAAAAAAAAATAAACAAACTTAAACAAAAAAAAGGGATCCTGGGTGTACAGGGAGTGTCCATGTCACACATTTAGCCTCCCTGCCCTTTAAAATCTGCAGGGGGTGACTTCAAGCACCACAGCCATCTGAAGCCTTTGGCTACGACAGAGCTCTAGGTGCTGCCAACAAACATTTTTGGGTAAAACAGCTCAAATTCCTTTTAACTTTAGTTTTAAGATATGATCTTGAACTCTTCGATCTTGACTAAGACCTAAGCTACAGTAGGGCTAACTTTTCAAATAGGGACTTGGGGAGCATTCTTTACAAGTGTTTGAACTGTTATTGGCTTAATCTTTTTTTTTATGTTATGTCAATCACCATACATTACATCATTAGTTTTTGATGTAGTGTTCCATGATTCATTGTTTGCATATAACACCCAGGGCTCCATGCAGTACGTGCCCTCCTTAATACCCATCACCAGGCTAACCCATCCCCCACCCCCCTCCCCTCTAGAGCCCTCAGTTTGTTTTTCAGAGTCCATAGTCTCTCATGGTTCATCTCTCCCTCCGATTTCCCCCTCCCTTCATTTTTCCCTTCCTTTTTGGCTGAAGTTTGCTCTCTTTCTCTGCAAAGAGGAGGAAACGTCCTTTAAAAAAAAACTATCAGATAAAAAGATTAGATAGATAGATAAATAAGTTTTAAGAATGCTATGTGGCTCAGTTTCCTAGGAGCTCATTACAGAGTTTTAGGCTTCTGCAACTTTTCATTATCTAAATTAAAATAACCTGGGAGAAATACCAATAAGAGTCTAAGGTTAAACTATGAAGTGTTCACCCTTTTCACAGTCTGGCTCTCTGCTGCCCTCTACAGCCAAGGAAAGGCAAGGAACGGTCCTTTCTTAGGTCCTACTACTGGCCTGGGACTATTTCCTCAAGTATTTTATGCCTGTGTGTGTCATCTTGTGAGGGAAGCACTAGTATCAGCAGAGATGTAGGGAAGAGTTTAAGGAGATAGGTATTAAATGAAAGGAGACCTGAATTCAAATTCTTAATTTTAATTTAGCAATTATGTGGCCTCAGGAAGTTGCTTAATGTCTTTGAGCCACTTTCAAGCTTACTATTAATGGCTATTCATTTTATTACCTACTATATTAAAACCTATTCCATAACCATGTTTTACAAACTAAATGAAATATTAAATAAGACCCTTTGCACTTAGTGGCATGTAGATAGCATAGACAGATGGTGATAATTGTTATTTAAGATACCTCTGTTGCTCTGAGAATTGACAAGAGCATGAAGAAAACATTTGTTAAGCATTAACTTTGTACCAAGTACTGCACTAGCTTTACATACATATTCCAATTCTTATGACAATCTGATGAGATTAATGATAGTATTCCTATTATTTCATTAAAGAATTTCAGCCTCAGAAAGATTAGGAAAGTTTCCCAAGGTCACACTGCTAGACTGTGACCTACCTAAGAGCAGGATCTGTGTCTTGTTTAAATTCCCACCATCTATCATGGAGTAGTCTTTGGTGAATGAACACATGAACAAATGAATGAATGAATTGGGCAACATATAAATGAAATATAAGCCTTATTTTCCAGGTAGTGCAGACTTTACATATGTCACATTCAAGGAAACAAGTCTTACTGAAATATTAAGAATCATGTAGATCATTATTATGGATTCATAAAAGGTACAGAGTGTTACCCATGACCTTATGCTGAATCTGTTGGTTTATACAATATATTTTGGTTCCAAGTGTTTCATGAAGTCTGTGGCCAATTATTAGCTGACCATTATTGGAATAGAGACTTCAATGGACACATACAACAAAGAATACAGACTTCATAAAATTAGTTCAGAAAAGTAACTAAACAAACAAGTACAAGAATCAACAACAACAAACACTAAAAGTGGGTTATACTATTCAAATATATAATATTCAAAATGTCTTGTTTTCAACAAAAAATTGTGAAACACACAAAGGAACAAAAACGTACGGTCAACACACAGAGGAAAAAAACAAAAACAAAAACCCACAGTGGTATAGAATAGAAACTGTGCTTTAAAAAGCCCGGATGTTAAACTTACTAGATGAAGACTTTAAATTGGCTATTTTAAATATGTTCAAAGAGCTAAAACAATTTCTAAAGAACTAAAGGAAATGATTAAACTCTCCAGTTAAAAGGCAGAGATTGGTGAATGGATTTTTAAGAGCAATATCCAATTATATGCTGTCTACAAAGGACTCACTTTAGATTGAAGCCCAGGTACAGATTGAGAATAAAAAGATGGAAGAAGATATTCCATGCAAACTGTAACCAAGAGAGACCTGGAGTGGCTATACTAATATCAAAGAAAGTAGGCTGTAACACAAAGATGTTGATACTGAAGGGATGGCAGGAAAACCAGAGGAAACCTCTAACTTGTACTTGACTGGAGCTTGGGATAGAGCTCATGGCGAGAAATACACATGACGACAGGACCACGGTTTATTAAACTGTGTGTGTGTGTGTGTGTGTGTCCACGCGTGCGCACGCACATACACGTGCAGTTACCTTCCCCACAAATTTCCTCTACTCAGGAAGACCACCAAGCTATCCCTGCAAAGGCAGCAAGCAGAGGTTCGCAGGTGGGGGGGTGGCACCAGAAGTGCTCACTTCATTTGTCATTTGTCTCCCTCTCAGGAATCTCAGTCTAGTGCTGCCTGTTGTCCAATGTCTGTAAACTATTGTTTCGTGTATTTTGTCCAGTTGTCTAGTTCTTTGAGAGTGGGAAGTAAATCCAGTTCCTGGATTTCTATCATGGCCCAAAAGATGTAAAAAGTTCATAGTCATTCATTCAGTAAATATTTATTGAATACCTACTGTATATTAGGAACTGTGCAGAGTCCTGGGATGCACTATCGAACTGGAAGAGGCACAGTTCATGCCCTCATGGGGCATGAAGGGAAGAACAAAAACAAGTAAGCATTCAAGCAATATAAACCCTGATAGGTGATTAGAGAGAGAGCAGAGTACTGTGAAAGCATGTAATAGGGAGACTTGATTTCATCGGTGCAATCAAGAAAAGCTTCCCAAAAATAAAGAACATTTTAACTAAGATTTAAGGAATAAGTTTTGGTATGTGTGTGTGGACAATGGGAAGACTGCTAAGAACAGCATATGCAAAAGGCCTGTGGCAGGATGGACCCATTAGAGATCAAGTCCAACCCTTAGAGTTCCCAATGAAGAAACAGAGGCTCAGAGTTTATGACATGGCTGATCATACTGCATTAGCAGCAGAGCAGGGGCTGGGATCCAGGACTCTTACCCCCAGCTGTCGTGTTCTATCCATTCCAGTATGTAGCCCAGCAGATGTAGGGAATACTAGAACATTTTATATGATGACATTTGTCATTTTTATGGTCCATGACATATTATGGGCAATACATAATTTTGTCATTTATTTTCACTTAAAAATAATTATGACCAAAATTTTATTCATGATATACTTTTAATTGCCTCTATTTTTATGTATTTACAAGGAATATGCCATAAAGGGTAACTAAATGTACAAGAAAGCACAGAATAGAAAAAACATGAACATTCACACATTCAGCACGCTGAAGCCACAACAGCATCATGATGGCCTGGGAGTGTTAACATGGCTTCCTAAGTAGCTAAATTATACCCAGGAGATCCTCGCTCAGCAGTGTAAGCTGTTAGTGCTCTCAAACATTTTGGGAAATGCATCCATTGCCCCATTCCAAGCTTCATTGCCATAATAAATGTCAATTAAAGCTCCTGTAAGATTTTAAACTGCAAAACTCAAGTGCAACTACTTGTGTATAGACTCACACAAGACTTCCCTAAATGAAGTGTCTCCTACAAGAGACATGGTATATTTGCATTTACCATGGGATAGATATGTTCCAACAGATACACACAACCAACTTGCATTCACTTAGAAAAGAAAGTTATTTTCTCTAGCTATCAACACAACCCTTTTACATGGCTTATAAACTGTTACATGTTTTATATGTTAATAGAAATCCATTTTCTTTCAACAAATGTATAGAGAGCACTACTATGTGCCGGGACTGGAAATACAGTAGCATGTAACAAGATAGAATGCCCCATCCCATCAGCATGGGGAGATCCTCCAAGATGCTAGCAGAAAGTCCCTTTCCATCCCTGACTGGATGTCTACACATGATTCTTTATAACTTTTATTTATAAGGCTTAAAAGACAATTACTCATCCAGTGCAAATATAAAACAGGGTCTTTGTTAACTTCTGAACATGGCAAAAACATTTTTTTATGTCTTATGTACAGCTCACTGATTTGGGTGTCAACGAATTCCATTTTAGTTTAAGTAGCCCAAGCTGCCAATTGTTTGATATCATCATCCTCTTCTGCCCTCCTGGAAGACGCTGGAACATAAAATGGATAAAAATTAGCAAGTGGTGACATTCACACCTGCAGGTTTGCATATGGATATTAAAAGGTATATATTTATGAAACAAAAAATAAGTGCTAAAAGGGATCGACCTGGCTACTTATTTCAGGGAACTATCTGACCACAGGCAGTTGAGGTGGGTGACAGACCTGCTCGGGATCGATGTGCAGCGGAGGACGCGCCTGACATTCTCCCTGGCATTCTATCCGGCTGTGCTGGGAGGGAGGAAGAAGGCACATTTGGAAGCCGGATATTTGTCATCTTCTTATTTAATTCTTCCTGCTCCAATTCTTCAAGTTCTGCCATCAACTCATCCTGAACATAGGAGAAAGAAAGAATTATGGAATTAACGTTTCAAGAAGTGGGTTTCCTCAAACACGATAATAAGAACATCTGCTACCCAATTGATATGTGAGAACCCAGTGAAATGGAATATTTATTTTAAGACTAAGTCTTTTTTGCAACACTGAGCAATGATTAAAAAATGAATATTTTGGGTTGTGCAAATTTGTCATAGTTAATCTTATAATACTTCAGTAAACAGTTATTCAACTAATTTGTGCTAGCTGAATATATAACCTCCACAGTTTCTAGGAAGTTTACACCTTGCCTGTCATTTTCCAACCTATCTTTTCCTTTCTACTGTAACAAATTAAGAATCTGTAAAACTTTAATTGGAGCAAATATTTTCATCTTGGCTAATGCTTTTGAAAATAAAATAATAGGTATAGCAAAACCATAATGTACAGAAAGTAAAAAGAATCAGAGATACTACGGTTTCTCTGTAAAATTACCAAAGCCAATATAAATCATGCTGTGTTGTTTGGGTTTAGAAAACTTCCAAGTCAACCTAGGTACACTGAACTTCCTTCTTTTAGCTATAGTCTCAGAGAGTCTGGTTTAATTCTAAACTGTTCTCTGCCTGAAGAAACTTAGACAAGACCAGTTTGAGACTTTAAAGGCATAAGTCACCTTATGTCAGATATGAGATAACTGCAGTAGTTCAGATCTAACTGGCTCCATGAGTACTCAGGTAGAGTCCAACCCCCCCCCCCCCAACTCTGAGAGAGGTTGGGAGTCGAAACTAAACTTGTCATTATGAGGATTCTAACACTGTCATTATTAGAAATGACCTAAGGCGCTCTTATACTCAACCAAGGAGATTCTTTGTTTATTCATTCATTCATCATTGAACAAATTTATTGAAAGCTCATTCGTGGTCAGGTGCTGAGTTCAATGCTGGGGATGAAAAGTTGAATCAACAGTCTCTACACTTAAGGAACTCATTATCGAATGTGGGAGAAAGGTAATAAATCATTATCTTATATTAAAGTGAGAGTAACAATACCCTGGGCCAAGACAGGAGATACCGAAGTCAACCACAACATCTGATCAAGTCAATTTATACCAGATGTGCAGCAAGCTTAACGATTGTCTGACCACTGTTAAATCTACCTCATGAAAAGGAAATAAATCCTAAAAGTGTATGTCATCACTTTCACAGGCCATGTGAAATAATATGGCCAGTGTACTTGTGTGCTTTAGGTTTTCCACAGGCAATATGAATAAAGTGCCCTCAGAATGAATACTCTGATGCCTACTTCTGCTCACAAAATAAATGGGAACAAATATAGTAAATACAGTAATGGCAGCACACACCATCTACACTGAATGGGTGCCCAGAACTGCCGATAGCACTTGATAGTTATCAACAGCACCGAGAAGATATTGATATTTTCTCTTCAGCAAATATGACAGAATAATCATCTCTTCCATCAATTATAGACTTTGAGTACCGAACACTTGTTCACTAATAAAATAATTTTAGAATTTAAGAAACTTCAGAGATAATCTAGCAATACAGCAATTTTTCTTTTACAGATGAGAAAACTAAGGGTCAGAAAAGTGAAGAGACTTACACAAAGTTGAGTAACAAATGGCAGAACCCAGATGTCCTTGTGAGCCCAGAGCCCTTTCCACCGCATCGAAATGCACTCATTAGATGCTTATTAGTCTAACCAGGGCTAGGCAACATTTTCTGTAAAGCACCAGATAGTGATATTTTAGGCTTGCTGGTCACATACAGTCTCTGTTGCACAGCCTTCTTTGTTTCTATTGTTATTGCTCTTATTTTCTGCAGTCCTTTAAACATGTAACATCCTTAGCTCAGACACCATACAAAAAGACCACGGGAAGGATTTGGCCTAAAAGCCAAATTTTCTAACCCCTGGTCTACACCATTTGGGGAGGGGGGGGATACATATTTTTTATTTCAATTCCAGTATAATTAACATACAGTGTTTTATTAATATCAGGTGTGTAGTATAGCGATTCAATAATTGTAGGCATTACTCAGAGCTCCTAATGATAAATGCACTCTTAATCCCCTTCACCTGTCTCAACCCCTGCCCCCATCCACCTGCCCCCTGGCAACCACCAGTTTGTTCTCTATAAGAGCCTGGTTTTTTGTTGTTGGTGGGTTTTTTTTTTTTTGTCTCTTTTTTTTCTTTGTTTTGTTTCTTAAGTCCCACATGTGATGGTCTACACCATTTTTAAAAGTTGTTGACACTCGTTCCAAATGTTTCAGGTTTCCATGGAACCACATCCTACTTAGTAGATACATCATTTTTAATACCACATAGATGTAGGAAGTCAGATTCTTTCCCATACTAATCAGAGAACTGGAAACATTTCAAAACATATAGTAGTCCTACTTACGTGTGCTTTGAGTAGAACAATTGAAATTCACAGTACAGACACTACCATTATAATTATAGTCTTTATTATTGGATTGATTAATCTAAATGGAATGTGTGTGTTAATAATGCCACTCTACATTTATTTTGTCTCACAGCCTGGGTAATAAACAGAGGCAGACTAACCTCTAATTTAACAACTACATGATATGTCTGTTCCTTGCAGAGTGACACAATCTGCTTTGTTTTGCCCAGATGTGTGAGCACTTGATTCCTTGTAATGGTGCCATTTAGGTTTCAACCATTAAAAGTCACTAACTCTACATAATCACATGCTGCCTTGCTTTAATAGCTGAAAACTTAATTAGGGGGTGGTTTGCTAAACCATATTAATCTTTCTTTTAAAACAGGGTTACCAGCACTTCATTTCCCCCTTAAGACAAGTACATCACTAACAAATATCACTTATTCTTTAATGATATTTAAGAAAATATTTAAGAAACACCGCCAGCTATATATGGGAGGAAGTTATCCTTTTCAGCAACCACAACACTCTGTTCTTTACACTGTGTTACCTACCTCATCAAAGTCATCACCAAATCCAACCCGCTGAGAAAAGGCCTCTGAGATTTCTTGGGCAATATCCTGCTGCTCTGTGATCTCTTGCATCAAATCATCTATTTTGTTCAGATCCCTGGGAGATAATATACTATTGAAATCTTTTAGAAGTTTACTTTAAAATTATGAGTTTAGATATAATCCCATATGAAAAATGAGTCAATTTAATGTAAACTCTTAGTTATTTCAGTAGGATAACAAAATTTTCTGGTGATAAGATTTATCAACTTTAAAAATAACTTGCATTTCGGGTGCCTGGGTGGTTCAGTTGGGTTAAGCAACTGCCTTCAGCTCAGGTCATGATCCTGGAGTCCCAGGATCCAAGTCCCACATCGGGCTCCCTGCTCAGCAGGGAGTCTGCTTCTCCCTCTGACCTTCCCCCCCTCATGCTCTCTCTCTCTCAAATAAATAAGTCTTTAAAAAAAATAAAAATAACTTGCATTTCAAGAAAATTAATAATCCTATATTTGCACATGTATTTTAAATATCTGATAAATAGCCATTACATTTGGGAGTCACTAGAGACTAAAACTAACAATATTTGTAGATGCATTTTGAAATTTTGACTGGTAGGTAGGGCATATGTAGAATTTAATAATATATGCTGCTGTGTATCAAGTCAGCAGGAAATGGTGCCATGGACCACCAAGGATCACCATGACCAAGATAAGCTGTGGCAACATTGAACAGTCACTGACAGCAGCCTTTTAGAGAAGCTGGACTCTGGAACCAGAGATTTTTCTAGAATGCCTCATGGCTCTGAGATCCTGACTCCCTGAGGGCTTTCCCATAGGTGCTGATGCCAGAGGGAGAACACTAATGAGAACAGGGTGAGGCCTAGGAAGTTTCTAGCACCTGAGCGCCAACCCCCACCCCCGCCAGCCCCCTGGACCCTAACCACCAGCCTAAGCTGTCAGGGTCTGAAGGCCAGGATCTGGACTGCTTCTCTACCACCCTGTCTCTGAATCATTCCTCCAGCTCTGAAACTTGGCCAAACTGACGGAATACCAGAGAAGTGACAACTTCCCTTATTATTAAGCAACCTAAACACTGAAACTGTGACTCCCAGTGGAATACTTTGCAAGTTTCCCAGACTCTATATATGGGAAAAGCCAAGAAGTTTTACATAAAAAGTTTTCTTTTAGCATCCTCCTATCATCCCTTATTTCCAATTATTATAATTACATTTATAACAAATACACAAGGAACTTATTTATGACAAGGAATAAAGTCTGGGCCTGAGATTGAATTTTTCTCAAAAGGCATACAGTGGAATGGGCTGCTCAACTACCTGGGGTGAAAGGCTGTGATTCTGTGATGCAGTTAGCACCCCGCTTATAGCAGTGAGAGAGGATTTTGACTCTGATAATGACTCTAATGATCTTTCTGAAGCTGTCAAAATGACATCTGATTGTCAATGAATTATCAAGGCAAGAAAATGTCAGCAAAGATGTCTTCACTGGCCCCAGCCTCCCACTTTCCCACTTTTCCTATCCATGGACACTTGTCTATATCCCTCAGGCACTCATTGTTCTTGTGCATCTTTGACCCAGATGTCACTCTCATATCCAATCTCAGGAAAGGATCAGGTCCCAGGCATAGATTTCCTAGTGTAGATGTAAAGCAAATTATCACCAGCCCCACTACCACTATGAATATTGACACTGAGGGCTTACTCTGTGTCAGAAACTATGCTAGGTGTATTGTATCTAGTATCTCACTGACTTTCACAATGACTACACAAGGTAAGTACTATTATTATCTCCAATTTACAGCTAAGGAAATTGAATCAGGGAAAGGCAAAGTAATTTGCTCAAGGACAGCTGGTAATGAAACTGGAATTATAACTCAGAAAATCTGACCTCAAATCCATCTCATAGCTATTATTCTAGGTCAGTGTTTCCCAAACACCTGTTAGTATCAGAATCACCTGGGGAACTTGGTGATAAAAACAAAAAGGCCCAATCCCTACCTTTCTTCAAGGAGCCTGGGCATCTGTGTTTTCTTTTGTAGTTTTCCAGGTTTGATAACCAAAGTTTGACAACCATTATTTGATAATTCTAACACTCTCGCACATGTTGACATTTAGGCCTTTTTAAAAATATAGTGTGATTCATGGAACACTACATCAAAAACTAATGATGTAATGTATGGTGATTAACACAACAATAAAAAAAATTAAAAAAAAATATATAGTGTGAGGGGCACCCGGGTGGCTCAGTTGGTTAAGCATCTGACTTCAGCTTAGGTCGTGATCTCGAGTCTTGGGATTGAGCCCTGCATTGGGCTCCCTGCTCAGTGAGGAGTCTGCTTGTCTCTCTCCCTCTGCCCCTCCCCCTGCTCATGCTCTCTCTCTTTCTGTCTGAAATAAATAAAATCTTTAAAAAAATTTTTAGGGTGCCTGGATGGCTCAGTGGTTAAGCGACTGCCTTCAGCTCAAGTCATGATCCTGGAGTTCTGGGATCGAGGCCCACGTCAGGCTCCCTGCTCAGCGGGGAGTCTGCTTCTCCCTCTGACCCTCCCCCCTCTCATGCTCTCTCTCTCGATCTCTCACTCTCATTCTCTCTCTTGCTCTCAAATAAAATCTTTAAAAAAAATTTTTTTAAAGCCTATAGCATGAAAGTGGTGGAGACAGGTGGAGTATCAGACACTATTGAGACAACTGGGAAACATAAGGGCAAAATGAATGTCTTCATTTTCTCATGGTCTTTTTTTTTTCCTAGTCTAACTTCTAATCTTTCTTTGATGGGGCATTCCATTCCAACATGTCAAAAAACATCAAATGAGTAACTCCATTCCTGCCAAAATCATCATATAGCTCCAAAGGCTCTTCTCAACATTGAGGGAATTTATGACTTGGAGGGAGACCAAAGTCAAAGTCACTCACATGTTTTCATGAACCGCTTTCATCGCTTTTGCCGCAAAGCCCATGTTTCTTAACACCTCAGTGTTGGTGTGTGAATTTTCCAGGGCTTCTCTCTGGAACTCAATCGTGGAAAGTGTGCCATCAATCTGAGTGAGCTGCTTCTCAAACCTCTTCTTTCTCTTTAGTGCCTGCAATGCAGCTAAATAAGGGAGAAGCCACATTTATAAGGAGAAAGCCCAAGCCACTTACTCAAGAGACATTTGCTCAACACCAACCATAGACTCAGCATTCTTGATCCCTACAGACACCGAGGATGCCAAATACAGCTGACAAACTACACTAACATTTGTCCTTTCAATCACCTGCACCAACTACCACTCCCTCAAACATTTTGCTATTCTTTTCTTCCAAAGATCTGGCAAGAGGATGAAAGTGTCAGTTTTCATATTCCATTAAAATATATCTCAGAAGTATTTCTGTCAGTATAGGATTTTAGAAAAAGAATAGACAAAAATATGAGTAAAAATCATGCAGTAGAAAAATAAAACTTTAGAGGAAGAAAAAAGTCATAGTAACTGTCTATTCTAGCCCAATTTCTTTATTTCAGAGACAAGCTAAGTTATGTGACTTTCTTGAAGGTAGACAGTGACTGGCAGCTGGAACCAAACCTAGGATGATGAGGTTCATGTCTTGGTCTAAAATGATTATGAGACGGTCAGCAAGTTTACATCTAACCATGAGCATCCATAAAATCAACACTGTTAGAGTCATACTCAAGGATTAGATGGCATGCTGGTAATAGAAAAGAGTGTTGCTTTCAGCGAAATATCAAAATACCCTCCTGTTTAGCTCTTTACCTGCTTCATTTGAAAAATCACAAAACTGAGTCTTTTTGACTCTGGCACTCCCGCCAAAAAAAGACCTTAAAATAGGAGTTTTGATAGGGTATTTAAGGAGAGTGAAGGAAAACAGCAGCAGAAGAATGTTAATATAAACATAATTAAATGGAATTGGCAAAAGAACTCCAAATAGCTTTAAGGTTTCAGAGTGAAGCACGTAAGTTACTGCAACAGAGATCTGAGAGAAGGGTCTCTTTGAACTCTGTTTTGATCGATTTATTCTTATAATTCCAAGAGATTTGGTTTACTTATTCTAATGCTTTTTGTTTGGTGCACAAAGACTCATAGTCATTACAGTTTCTTGTCAGATTTTACTGGCATCAATATGAAATATTACTCTACGTCCCATTTAATCCTCTTTGCCTTAAATTCCATTTTGTTTTATATTAATGTTTTGGCTTTTTGTTACAATTTGCCTATAATAATTATGGGGACCTCTATTTCAAAATTGTTTTCCATTTGCTCTATTGCACCTATTACAGATAGCATATACTTGAATATGTAGTTTGTGTGACTATTTTCAACCCATTCAGATAGTCTCTATCTTTTAATGTAAGATTTTAACTCATGTTTATTTATTGTGATAACTGATACGTTACCTAATATCGTCTTTTTATTATCATCTTTTTGTGTTTTCTGTTGTATTTTTTGTTTACTTCTGCTGTCTTATCTTTATGTATATTGATCAAATTTGTTCATTTTCCCCCCTTTAATTTGTTGGACAGTTATATATACTAAATTTATTCTCCTGGGAATACTCTTATATTTTAAAAAGACACATACAATTGAGTTTTCTATCCACGTTGAAAATTAATCAGTATTGATAATTTACTGTTCCCAAATAAGATTCCTTTCTCACCCCAGACCTTCCAATGTTTGACTGAAATAACTGCAATTTTATTAGTTCTAGATGATTACTAGCTGTTTTCACTATCCTTTCAACTTTTAAGGAAACTTTTCTTAACAATTGCATTAAGTTTGACAGATTTTCTTACTAATGATTCTTGTATCCTACATCATCCTTTCATGAATATTTTTACTTTGCTGGAATAAATATTAAAGTGGGTTTTTTTTTTTTTCCAGAAAAGGTGCATAGATATAAATTCTCTAAATACCTATAGGTCCAAAGATGTCATCTTGTTTCAAACTTGAATAATAGTTTGGAATTGTTTTTACAGAACTCTAGGTTTAAAATATTCCAAAAATTTTAACTATTCCATTGTCATTGGGTAATCAATATTCCAAAGTTTGATAATAATATTATTTTTATCCCTTTGTAGAAAATTTGTTAGCCTATTTCCTCTTTGGAAATGTTTAAGATTTTCTTTTTTACCTTAGAGTTATGAAATTTCACCAGCATAGGGCTAAGTGTGTGCCTTTTATTTTTTGCTTCCCCCAACTAAATATTCGGTGAGTTGTTTTTTTTTTTTTTTTTTTCTGAAAAATTAAGTCTTCCTTCAGCTTGGGGAAACTGTATTCTTTAATGTTTTTTATTACTTCTTCCCCCTCCATTATTTCTCACTACTTTCTTCTTATTTTTTTCTTAAGATTTTATTTATTTGAGAAAGAGGGAGAGAGAGAAAGAGAACACAAGAGAACATGAGCAGGGGAAGAGGGAGAGGGAGAAGCAGGCTCCCCACAGAGCCTGAACCAAACCCAGATGCTTAACAGACTGAGCCACCCAGGTGCCCCTGCCTACTTTCTTCTGAAATCCCTATTTATTTTTGTTATTTTTTTTTTTGAAATCCTTATATGATGGATGTTGGATTCCTTGGCTCTATCCTCCAATCTAATAATTTTTTGTTCTATGTTCTGGGATAATTCCTTAACTTTATATTCTGAATTACTAATTAGTCTTCAACTACATTTATTCTACTTTTTTACCCTCATTTGTTTTTAATTATGTTTTTCAATTTGTAAGACCTTTTTCTTCTAGTGGCTCATTTTTATGGCAGCCCATTCTTGTCTTATAATTCAATAGCCTCTTGAATCTCCCTGAAGATACCAACACAAGTTTTGTCTCTAACATTTTTTATTTCCTACATTATCTCTCTTCTCTTGGGTTTGGTTGTTTGCTTTGCTTATCTTAACCCTTTCTTGCAATTACCTTTCATCAAAATTCTTTTGAGTCTGTGTTAAAAGCTTTCATTCATAAATGAAAGACTAGAATAGTTAGTGTAAGTAGCTGGGCTTCTTGCAGTTACATAAGTGTGTTTTCCCAGGAGGTCTTGAAAGGCAAGGTTGCCCGGAAGCTCTGTAGAAGTGGGTGTGGTATTCCAAAGGAGGGAGCAAGTAGATGGACTTGACAAAGAAAGGCTTTTTTTTTAGGTGTGGAACATTGTTCTCTATCTCCCTGGTGAGTGGTAACTATCTTCCCATCCCTCCCTGCCCACTGTGGAAGTCCAGGGTTATCAGGTTCTGCTTGGCTTCCCTCTCCAGGTGCAAAAATCACAACTGAAGTCCCTGCTAAATAGCACTGACATTTATTTAGAAAACAGTTTTTATTTGCTTAACCTGTCCTTTAGGAAAGAACTAAAACAATTTTTAAAAAATTATCTGCGTAAAGGCCTTTCTATGATATCACACAATATCCCCTGTAGAGAGGCTCATCACATTAATGACCAGAGCTGTGCAAGGGCTTTCCCCCCGACATGGGAAGAATGGTCAATTGAGCCCCCATGCTTACACCCTACCTGTGGATCCATATCTACTGCTGCATTTATCACACTGTATTATAATTATTTGTAAAACCTATTGTACCCCATCTCTACTACACCAGTTATAAGCCCTTTGAAGAAAAATGTAGTATCCTATTCTATTTCCCCAGTACCTGGCCCAGGTCCTGGCACACAGCCAATAAAATACATAACAAAAATTAACATTGAGTATTTGTGATATGCCAAACTAGTGCTAAGTGCTTTATGTGAACTGTCATTAACTCTCACAAAAACTCCAAGAGTAGATGCTATTATTGGTCTACTTTCCAGAAGATGAAATGAATGAATATTAAATAAATAAATCTGGTAATTTTGTAAAAATAGAAATGACAGCATGGTAGGGGCGCCTGGGTGGCTCAGATGGTTAAGCGTCTACCTTCAGCTCAGGTCATGATCCCAGGGCCTGGGATCGAGCCCCGCATTGGGCTCTCTGCTTGGTGGGGAACCTGCTTCTCCCTCTCCCTCTACTGTTCCCCCTGCTTGTGCTCTCTCTCTCTCTCTATCAAATAAATAAATAAAATCTAAAAAAAGAAAGAAATGACAGCATGGTATAATAGAAAAAGTATGGCCTTCAAGGCCAGAGTGTGACTTCTGTCAACAGGAAGAAGCAGGAACTCTAGCAACAAGGCAAGCATTAAACCTGATCTACCGGAAGCAACCCCGTAGGCTCGGGTCCATGGTCACCCTGCCCCGTCTCCCACAGCTCAAAAGAAGCAAGAAATCTGGATTTGCATGCAAAGTCCTCCAAATTTAAAATCTGACTTCCATGTTTCAAATCACCTTGGGTGAGCAAACCCAGTGATTTCTGCAGAGCTGGATCTGGCCCCAGGACACCGGACACCTCCTGTGACTTCTGCCTGGCACAGGATGCTTCTCCCAAACACAAAGACAAGAGCCGTATGTTCCAAAGAACCAGGAAATATACGTGAAGAGTCTCCTCGTGAGCTGGTTCTCACATGAATGATGATACCTCAGGCCCACCAGGAGTTAGACGGGCTTTGATTTTGTTTTCTAATACACAATTTGGGAAAAGAAAACAGCTGCCTATTTTCAAAGACAAGGAAAAAATATTGCAAATTTAGCAGTGCTCCTGATTTGGCAAAGAAGGACGTTTTCAGAGCCATGTAATTTAACCTGTGTAGGAGGTGCAATTCAATGTTCAAACTCCTGTATGTGCTTTTAAGCAGCGGGTGAGACCTGGAGAGCATTCTTTCTAAAACAAAGGAATCTACTGTATTCTTTTGTGGTGGAGAAACAGCCAGGGGTTTTGTCACTTCGCTTCAAAGTGACGTTCCTTCAGCAATGGAATTGCAGAACAATGCCCTGTATGGACTGCTGTTAAGGATACATGAAGAGTCCTTACTACTGCCCAGTGAGCATGGCGGCTGAAACTTAAGAATTACTCACTTGAACCAAAATTCCACCAGCCTTAAGTCACTTTACTCCACTACTACATGGCCAGAGGAGGAAGGCTTTCAGTCACCTATGAAAAATGACTAGAAATGGCAGAAAAAAGTTACAGTTTCATTGTTCATGTAATATATAGGGCATCTTGGTTTTAAAGGTCAGTCTGTTCTTCACTC